TTGACAAGTTCTAGTAAGTAAGTAAGACATTGTTCTAGTAAAAATTTAACTTGTAGCTAAATTACTTTCTTATATTTCCTGTAATTCTTGTACACTAAAACAAATTATCCAAACTTCCTTCGTAGGTATTTAAAAATGTAAATTCACATGTAAATGTTTGTGTAAGTCTATTTTCCAGTTTGTTAAATGAAAATATATAGACATCACTGTTTCTTTAAGATCCCATTAGGTCCTCATATTTGATGTAATATCGTAAAAGAACAAACCATTGAAAGCATAAATTATACAAGTTTGTCAGTACCGCACGAAGATATTGATACCAACAATTTTCCAGAAAAATTATGTCAATATAGCAGTCAGTTGGGGGTGACGCATGCGCAAAAAATCCATACCTTCTCTACGAAAATATCATAGCAATTTGCATATGCGGCGCATCAATTTTTTCACTAGCAGGGGCCCTATATTATGTTATAGCTATATGGGTGTCACTAATATTAATTACCTGCGACTAAACTAACCAACAAAATGCATTATAGAACTTAGTAGCCCGCTTGATCTTTTTGCGTTATTAGAATATAGCTAGAGATATAGAGGCCCTGCCTATGCCGATAAGACAGGAATTTATGAAGCAACTATGAACAAATTTTTGACATTCAACACAAGTATGCGTCAGATTTTAAAATGTCGTTTTTACCCAATACGGCGTTCAACAACCAACATAACCGCTGACAGATCGTCAATAACTTTGTATGCGGCATTTTTTCGGCAGTATTTTCTCAAAACATGCCTACATCTGGTCAAATGCTTGGAGAAAAATGGTGCAAAGTGCACGTTAGTGAGTGAAATATGAATACACGCCTCCTCTACGCCTGCGGCGCATCAATTTTTACCACAGTAAGTCCACAATGTTATTTAATACGTACATCGTTCAAACCAAATCTTTCGAAAAATTGTACACAAAAATAAAAACAAAATTAAAAGGAAACTTTGACACCCTGTATATAAAAGACGAATTATTTTTTTTTGTAATGTCCTTTTACCTTAAAAATACATAAGAACTAACCCTGTGAAATATTGGACGCCTATTAAATGACAGCCTGTACTTCGCCGCTCAACGAATTTTTAAACAAACCTTAAACAAGGTAAAAAGGGTGTAAAGCTACAAAATATTTTTGGGGAATCTGATTTTCGTCGGTATGTAATTGAGAACGATTATATGCCGCACTTAATTGGGCTAATCGACATTAAAGATTCATTATTCATCTTGAGACGTTCATTTTCTGACGATGACACTTTTATTACGGAGATAATTTTTAAGTATCCTTCGAGAATAACGATCTCCGTCACCGGAAACGGGGAAATTTGCTCTTATTTGTTTCGCTAATTAGACTTCTTCTAGGATTTTTTTTTTTGCTAAAACACAGCAAAAAGTGATGGCGATAAAAACGCGATTCTAAAAATCACCTTGTTTAAATTTCTGCAGTTCTTAAACTAACAGTTTCTGGCTAGGTAACGATCTTTCCACAATAGAGGGTGACAATGTGACATACTGGATATCTACGGATCAAATAATGACCATTAAAGGTAAAAATTTCTTTTTCTTGTCACACCCTATCAAATCTTTTCTGCATGAAAAAGCGGTTCCTGTAATTTTTTGACATTGTAGTTTGTAACGATAAACAATTTAAGACAATAAGAAAATTAGCTTTCAATTCTCTAAAAGCAAACAAATCACGAAATATCAGCTTTTTACAGGGCAAAATGTTATAACGTTAAAAATATTCCTTTGAATTTATACTAATGCGCACAACTTTATAAAAAATATGAACGAGCAGAAATTGTTAACATCCACTTAAAATGTCAATTAAGCAAAAAAAAAACATCGATAGTTCTGGCACAATAACCCTAAATCACTTGACTTCACTCGCTACAATTATACTGCCTCTAATTAGATTTGAGCTCAAACAGGATTATCGCAAATGTCCGTTTGAACAGGTATTTATGTTCGTTCGTTCAAAGCGCAGTTAAAACACGTGATTAGAGCACTGCAAACGTAACACGTTCATTTAACTTAATCCATGGAAGGCAAAGCGCCATCCTTCAGTTAAAAATAATTACAGACATTTGGCTAATCTAACGTGAAAAAATCTCCACTCTAATGGCTAAATATAGTCCGCAAATCGAATGCCTACCGTCCATACTTTGAAAAAATATTGCAAAAGAAAAGATAGTCAATGTAAGATTTTAGGTTATATGTAGAAAGAAGTCCTGTAACTTAAAACGCAAGCTAACAATGTTTAACAACAATTCATAATAGTGTATTATGGAAAAAGTGCGGTAAGCGAGCGAGTGTTTAATAAACGATTGATTTAAAAAGTTTACCGAACGCGTTGCATACTACATTTTTTCTACGACCGTTAGTTAGTTAGACATGGCCTTCAGAATTGAGAAACATCAAAATTCAAGGCCTAGGAAATATCTCCGAAAACATCCGATTGTTCCCGAACCCGAACCTCCGAAGTGGCACGGATCCGTGCGAAACGAAACTGACGTGGCAAAGTGACGCTTCCCGCATGCTAGATTGGTGTGTAATTAGGTATTTTACAAACGGTAGCAGAAAAAATGTTTACGTCAAATATGTGCAAAAATTAAGCTCTCAAAATCACATCACAATTAACAAACGTAAATAACGCGAGAATGGTATTAATTCAGTTTTTTTTATATAAATAAAATTTTTAACATGGCTCTGTCAGATTGTTTTGTAATCTTTTCAAAAGATCCCTATTATGGTAAGGACTGGATCCTGATTTCTCCGAACAGCAGAAAACTTTTAACCGAGATTTATATCTTTTGAAACTAGTAGACAAATATTGGTACATAAATATTGAGTTAACTAAAGTGGTGAGAATATTAAGTGAATATTTTCTTTTCACTTCTTGTAGATACGTTCGAATTTAAATATTGGCACTTTAAAGTTTCACGGGGTTTTATCGCCGTTTAAATCGATCCACTCGCGAAAGGAAATTGAAACAGAACAGCATTGGTTCCTGACTTTTGTGCACGATTCCCGACTTTAAGTTATATTGCTTCAAAAGTCCGTCAAGTGGCTCTAAACGTTTCTGCGGGATAGCTAAAATTTTCCTGCCGACTGTAAAACTCCAAATACTCCCGAAGTTTTCTCTAATTGAAAATTATATATTATAAGAACTAACCATACAAAATTTCCCTCAAATTGAATGGAATAAACAAAAGGAAAACTAAAACTATTGGATAGACTGTAGGCTATTTAGTATGGTGCGATTTTATTTTTGCATTGTTTTTATTTCTACAAATAATGATAGATTTTGTAATTTGAAAACAAGAATGATTTTTCAATATGACGCTTGTAAACCAATTAGTAGAAATTCAAATGAAAACATTATTAATTCGAATAAATTGTGTATTCGTTCATGATAACAATATCGTCAATCGACTGGAAATTTGTTGCTTATTGTTCAATAATTAATATGCAAAATTGAATATGGCATTTCAGAGAACTGAAAAACCATGTTTAATTTATTTTGCGCACCTGCCAACATATTATGCGGGTGATTCGCGAGGAAAGGCGTTTGTTCTGAAAGTCTAAATAGAAAAAACAATTTTATATCTCCGAAAATACGACTTTTGATAGTTAAGTGTAACTTTTCCATAAAACCGTTCTTTATTATTATTTGTCACATTGCACACGGTTTTTATAAGAGTTTTCTTTGCTTACGTATTTCGATTTTGAAAGCACGGCTGGAAGTTGTAAAAGTTTATCATCTCATAATAATTGGTAAATGATAGGCAGTATTTTTTTTAGTATAAATCGAACAAAAACAAGGTGACAAAGATATAAGACCTCCCTTTTTTATAAGCAAATAAATCTCTCATTGTCTCTGTAATCTTCTTAACATCAATTTGAATGAGAGGTGATATGTTCTGAAATAACTACAATATAGGAATTTCCACCAAAGAAAAAACAGTGCTAACAATATTTTCTTTTAGGGTGTCTTTTGCTATAGCTTTCAACATAATTTATTTGTCGTCTGTTCAATTCAAAATTTAATTTATAAACTCTGACGGTCGTGTATTTTTCCATTCGTTTAATCTGATTAATCGGTAAATCAGACTCTCGGTTTTTCAAAAGAACAGTTTTGAATTGAGCTAATAAATGATACTAAAAAATTAACAACACATGTTGGAACAGTCCTTTTTATTACTATTGCATTTAAAATGGGTCCAACGCCCTCGTTTGGTCATACGTTTTAATAAAGCGAGCAAAAGACCGCAGTAAAAAAAAAACATAGCGGGTTTGCGAATGGTCATTTTATCGAGAAGAGGACTATCCGCTTGTCGCAATAAATTAAATACTCCGGTAGTAACTCTGGACCAAATCCAATATCGGAAGCGAATCGAAAGGCCTAGTTCTCGTAACTAATACGCTGAAAATCTTATAACTCGCACTGCAACAGATGTAACGCTTCATTCATTCGTTGAAGATTTCCAATACGTGGAATAAAATCCACACACTTTTTGCAGCTTCCACAGGTCCGGAATAAATACCACATTAACTTCTCAAACTTTTTCAGTCTTGAGTTTGACAACACGAAATGACAGTGATGGACATACACGCTGTTTTGTGTCCTCGCTTAATTACGAGCAAAGGAAAAAACAGTCCATCCTCGACAGATTACCCCATGTAAAACTGATTTTATATTCTCGAATCATCATTTGTCGATAAAACTGGCAGTTATGATGCCATAGTAAATGGAGAAAGTGACTTAATAATTTATTTTTAGTAAGTTATTAATTATTCTAAAATAATAGTTCAAACTCTATCCCGCGTAAACTGCTAGTCTGCTAAGGTTCTCTTTCTGTAAAATATGCATTCGGAAGTTTAGATTCCATCTGCATAGTGTTCATTCTGAGACGCGGTGGTGTTAAATTACTACGTCGATAGAAATTGTTAACAGACGTACCATTAGTTCTCTGCGAAGCTTATCCAGTTCCAAAGCGGATGCCGGAGGTGCGTCTCTTGTCGTCCTGCCTCGCCTAAGTTCCTCGAGTTGCCTCGTCAACTCCTCAACTTTGGCCACCGCCAACGATAACTCCTTTTCCTTTTCATTGAAAAGCGCTCGTATCGAATCAAGGTCACTTGCTGAGAACAATTATTTTTCATTCGCATCGACACGTGCAATAATAAAAAATTTAAGTATAATTCCTTAAGAAAAAGTATGATCAGCCCGCGAACATGTCAATATATTTTATAGCGTGTTTCTGAAAACCTTACTACTACGTTTTTCTACATAATGACATAATTCTAAAAAAAATATGCAACACTGCCTAATACGTCAGTGAAAATCGTATCGCGATATCTCTTTCCTCACCAGAACCATAAAAACAGATATTTTCCGTATGCCCGTCATTACTAAATTCTAATTGTCTTTATTTTAGAAAAATGAAAATTATTAAAATTGTTTACAGCTATGAAACAATATGGCGGATGAAATCAAAATCGCAATAGTAATTTATATTCATTGAACACACATGAGCCTGGGTCCATTTAAAAGAGGATTTCTAGCTTCGTAATAAGATAATTACGTAGTGAATACCATTTCTTATCTTTTAGGTAGCAGTAGGCAAATCGGCTACCGATGAGCTAAAACCGCGTTTCCATTACTTAATTTGTTTCTTTTCGAGTTTTTTGAAAATAGGTATTTCTGGAAGCTGTGAAACAATATTTTGCTGTTGATAATAGAATAGATGTTTTGACAGTAGCAGCAACAGTTTGGAAATTATAATTTATGTTTGTAAACATGAACTTTCTGTGAAAAAAAAAAAAGTTTTTCGGTTCCTTAGTTACTTTAAACATTAATACTGATGGTTAAGCTGACACATCGGGAGATTGATGAAATTTTTAATATGAAACATCCAACCAAATATATTCGCCGCTTTACTGTCGGCAATGTAGCCACCAAATTTAAAAAAAAAAATTCAAGAAAAAACATGCCGTTCGAACACTTTACAAGTAGTTGTGGAAAACCCAAAAATTTCCAAAGGAGGAAGGGATAAAGAACGCAGTTCAAGCTAAGAGCTTCTGCTATTGGAATAAATAAATTTTATTCATATAAGCCAAAATTTGTACATACCCTCCAACCTGCAGATATCGGATCGCGTTTCCAGTTCTGTGCTTGGTTTCAAGGAGAAGTTAAACAGTTTCTTTTTAACAAGAATTTTATTCAGTGACGAGGCAACATCAACTTATAATGGTGTTTTATATTCTCAGAATTGTCGTTGGTGGAGCGATGTGAACCCCAATTACGTAATTGAATGCAGTGAGCAAACGTATTTCAAAACCAATGTTTGGTGTGGTATTTCAAATAATCATCCATATTTTTCCGCCAAAATATTACTAGTGACATTAAATTAAATTTCCTATAATTTTATTAACGAACAGGGTCATCAAAAATTTGGATATAACTTTTCCACAAAGGCAAACGTATTTTGCTAATTTTAAACCCGATAGTTTTTGAGACCACCCTGCGTTTCGAACATACAAATATTCTTATTTTCTCACCAAGCAGGACATGAGGAAAGGGCGCTTATTTTCGTAAAATTAATAAGTAAAAATCTTCCCAGTTGATAATAACTTCCGAAGACACGCTTTATAAGTAATCTTTTCTTTCTATAATGACGACTGTTCTTGACGAATGGTGGAGGAGCAAACGATTAAAATTTATCTGTGCGTTACAATTTTCAAGAAATATGCGTTATTGGCACTAAAATTTCAATAAATAATATAGATAAAAAATCTTTTTGACAAATTCGACAACGAAAGCAACGTTCCCTTAATGACATTTTATTTGTACAAAACGAAATGTAAAACTAAATGAAATTCAAAAAGTCAAAAAACGGTATAACGAACTACTTAACTTGAGTAAGTAATATCGGAAATACGTGATGGTCACGGACTGACTAAAACAAATTAGTTTCTACTGCATAAATTACAATTATTAAAAATATACAAAATTGCATGCTATCGGTTTTAACTGGTGATTTAAATTAATAAAACTCTTGTAATATCTACCGAAAAATGAAGTTGACGTGAAGGCAATCGTAAAGTAAACCTTAAACATTATTAAATGAAAACCCACTCCTCTTCCTACTCTGCTGAAAAATGGGTTCTATAATGTAAATGAAAGGCAGTTTGACTAAAACTGGAATTTTAAAACGGGAATTTTCTCATATTAAGTAAATTTCGCTTTTGAGTGTGCGAAAGAGCACGTTTTAGAAAAAATGTGACATTGAAGTCGGCTGCACAGGTAGAATTACAACTATAGCAAAAGGCAAGTAATATTGAGTTACTTACTAAGGGAAATGTTGTTTTGCTTTTGGTGGTCCACTTGTCCGCGCAGCGCGCGCAGCTTGCGCAGCTTCAGCTCCTGCGCGTCCACGCGCTCTCGCAATCTGCGCAGCCGTTCGCTTTCGGCGTGTACGCGTTGCTGTCGCGCCTCCTGCTCTTTGAGGTAACGCAACCGCTGTTCTTTAGCGGCCAACAGCTGATGCTGAGAGTCGATCTGCGCCTGCTGTCTGCACGCCATCTCGCGCAGTTCACTCAGGGTTAACTGCACTTCGTCGGGTAGCTGCGAAAAAAAATGGTTAAAAAAATGGGGAACCGTTGTCTTGTCTATAACCTCGTTTACGTATGAAGCCTTATAGCTTAAAGACGTTACGTAAATCCAATAAACGTGGGTAACGAACCAAGTCGAATTTACGTCTCGGAAAAACTGTACAGAAAACTTCTCGACTCGATCTGCCCCTAAAAGTAGCTGTTTACCCTCTCTTGCCAACTTTTTTTACGTGACTGTGATGTTTCGAATTTTCACACGCGCCGAGTTTGGTATCCGATATAAAGGCTTAAAAATCAACGAGGAACTTTTAATTAAGAATTAAGGGTTCGCGATATAATCTGACAAATTCTCATTATACGAAGACCCGTACCTCCGACGTAATTAAATTTTGCATTGTATTCGACAATTTTCGCAATACTTTTATCGCGAGCAATGCGAAAATTCTAATTAAAACCGGCTAGTAAACTTTTGCTTTGTTTTTGGGTAAAGACAATATTATTTGCTTAAAAAATAATATTAGGCAACAAATTTAAAAATTTGACATATAGACTATGGAGCCCCAAACCTGGTCGCTAGTTTTTTTCCATTTGATTTATCTAACAAACTAGTTATAAAATTTTTGTTTATTTGCCGCAGGTGTTCCCAAGAACAAAAAATTTCCACAAAATGATTACAATTTGACTTTCCTATTTGAGGTTAAAATTCACCTTTAAAAAGGTTAACCTCTGGTTGCTGATTATATGTAACTGCTGTCATATTTGGTTAGTTTTAAAATCACAAAACCTCAAGGAAAATCGAGTAGACATCATCGATTTACAAATCAAGATACAGGCAACAACTAAAATAAAATAATTAACATATCTTTAATTTTACTTTTTGGAATGGAATAATCTAGGAAAATAATAGTCAATTGAAAATTGTTAAAATTTGTTCTTATGTCTTTTTTTTATATGTTTTAAATGACACAGACCACCTCAACAACAGAACAACAGTGGCATATTTTGCCGCCCACAAAGGAACACTTAACTGACTATTTTATATCTCTTAAAACATATTCCAGAAAAACTCGCTTTACCATTAACAAAACAACCAGTATAAATCGATGGAAAAAGACTTCCTTCTCATGCTTATTGAACGCATAAAATTCAAAAGGGCGTATCAGCGCACAGGTCGAGCAAATTTCATTAGGGCGCCGTCTTAGGCACTTTTTATTTGTCGTTTGATTCCAGCATCAGCTATAGAGAAGCCGGTGTAAGTATTGGATGGTAAGAGTAATCTAAAACGCGTTTATCAAAAAGGCGAATTCGCCCACATTTCCCGCTTCGTCCTATAGCAACGACACTATACATTTGAAGCTTCGTCTGCCTACCAGATTAAGAGAGCACTCGAGTTGATTAATATTATTAGCTAGAGAAAGGAGTTCAAATGGATTCGCCAACGTATTGTGAGACTGGATTAATGTTCAGGTAATAACCAGACAAACGACCTTGAGTAACGGGAAGATCCCGACTCCAAATGGAATTGTTGATTTAAGTTTAAAGTTCCCGACAGAGAGTTACCAAGCCTTGAGCGAAACTGGGTTTAAATTGGTCCCTTTAAAATTCGTTTTAGAAACTTTCGCTGATTTTTGATGCGCCACAAAAGTTAAATGATAAATCCATATTTCGTAGCCATGAGGTTTTTGATACGACTCGAAAAAGATGGTACAAATTTTTTATTTTTGGACTTCGCTGAATACTTATGCAAAGTGCATGGAAACGAATAATATATATTCATATCACTATCACTTATTTAAAACTTGTTGCAGAGAATTCTTCCAATTATTTGCAGGAATGTCAACCACACATTTTGTAATTTTACCTATTGCAGAGTTGATGACAGTCCAAAATTAAGCTGGTTAGTTTCTATACGCTAGCATATTAACATATTATTAATGACACTTTGGCCACGAATTTGTTTTGACACGAACGGAGCGAATGTTTAATAATAATTTTTCTTCTGACGGTTAACATCAGTCACTAAATAAATTTATTCGTGCTTTGTTGCAAAAATGAATGATATAAAATCACTTCAGTGAGTCATTTAATAAGTGCTCGCTCTACTAAGCCCCGCTTGGCGAAATCAAACTCGTGACTAAATTGAAGTTTATCAAACTGGCGGTTAAATATACTATACATGGAAAGGTAGATAAATAGGTTTTTTGACGGTGATAATAGGTTACAATTTTTAATATTGACTGTCTTCAACAATTTAAAGCATATATAAATAAAAATGTAATGTACATTCGCGAGGAATAAAATCGATGGCAACGAATGTCTAATATTACAGGACGGGAAAATTTTTGGTTTTGGGTTTTTGAAACAATCATTTTTTGTGCTTCCAATATTGCCACCACCGACGCAGCTCTTCGCAATGTCCACTTTATTCGAACAATAAAGCTGGGGAGACGTCAACTTAACGACCTAACATGGTAAGACAATTTGAACGAAATGACTTATCGACGGTTTATTAATTTCCTGTCGACTCGATATTACTGAACCTCTCCGTTCGATTTTATGGCGGCAAATTACAAAAACGACAAAATATGTGTGCCGCGTACATTCTTTAAATAAAAAGGATTGTTATTTGATAATCGAATGGTTTTCTTCGTACGGAATATCTTTAAAAATATTGTTTGAAAAGTAAATTTTGTTCCGCTACAACCACCTACGGCCTTCATGAAGATTAAGCGTCACGTAGAGATTCATGTTTGTCACATTCTAAAACGATGGATTATATGCAAGCCCCTAAATATCCCCTATAAAACAATAAACATTCTTTTCCGAACTTATTTTTTACCGGATGTGCGAGAAAGTTAATACAATCCCCGCATGCAGCTCTAGAAAATTTTATACAGAAATGATTGGAATTCCCATATAGCTATATTTTCTCTCTAAACGGCGATCTCCACACACTCAAGTCGGTTTTTCCTAGAAATTTAATCGGATCTGGGCACATTCTTACAAAACACTGCAAAAAGAAATCGCAAGTTAACAACCACCAAAATGGAACAGCTTTTTTATCAATGAAAAGCTTTCTTTTTATTTTCTTCTTTGATCTTCATGCTCGAAAACTACATGACTAAAATCTCTTTTTTCTTCCAACTAACCTACTTCCATTTTCACTGTAAGAAGTAACATTCACATATCAAAATAATAAGAAATATGAAAAAAATTATAGTAACAGATCATTGTTTGGAAGTTCTATCCCTTGATCCCTTGACTAGCAACCCCGTGCGGGGTTGCTAGTCCCCCATCGGGCGCCTCCCCAGGTGGCGGATAGGGGAACGCTCAGCAGATATGCTGGGTACCGGGGAAATAAAATACCCGGGGTGGACCAAAACTAGCACAGGACACGACGGATCTCCATGTCAGGAGCGGTACTCCAACAGCGTCTGACCCACATTGGGCGGCTGATCCCTAAACCTAGGAAAGCAACGGGAAACTACCTAGGTACAATAATTTTCCCCAGGATATTTACTATGGCTGAAAATGAAAATATCACGGCCCTCAGTCCCGGGCACCCCTTAAATGGGGAGAGGGTGCTAAGAATCTCCCGGTCAGCCAGTATCCTAAAAGCTACATCAAAGAGAAGAGTAGGCACATGGAATGTGCAGAGCATGTTTCAGGCTGGAAAGGCGGCTAACACGGTTAAGGAAATGTTGCGATTGAGAATTGATATACTCGGAATTAGCGAAACGCGATGGCCTGGTTCTGGGAAGTGCGAAATAGAGGAACATCAGATTTACTATGCTGGAGAAGATAGCCCTCAACATCGAAATGGGGTCGCAATAATAGTAACGAAAGAGGTCGATAGTGCCGTACTAGGATTCGTACCCATCTCTGACAGAGTAGCGATAATGAAGATCAACGCAAAGCCCTGCAAGTTAAATATAATCCAGATTTACGCACCAACAACACAAAGCACCGAGGAAGAGATGGATGAGTTCTATATGGACATGAAGAAAGCTCTTAAACACACGCGAAAAGAAGAGATCACCCTTCTTATGGGTGATTTTAATGCCAAGGTCGGCTATGGGGAAGATGATGACGTTGTCGGAAGATACGGGATAGGAATGCGAAACGAGAGAGGAGAAGCACTTGTCCAATTCTGTAAAGAATTTAATTTTATAATTACGAACACGTGGTTTAAACAACCACCCAGGCGTCTATATACCTGGATGTCTCCCGCTGATAATGAACGGCACATAGTAAGGAATCAGATTGATTTTATAACGGTGAACAAGAGGTTCCGAAACTCGATAACAACCGTAAAAACCTACCCTGGTGCAGACGTCCCATCTGACCATAATCTATTGCTATCCACTTTAAGACTACGATTAAAGAAGCTAGCAAAATCAAAACGAGCAGAACGAGTGGATACACAAAAACTTAAAGACGAAAATGTTAAAACCGAAACAAAACAGGAATTAAATAGAAAAATAGCTGAAATCAAAGAAAAATCATATAACCATATTGAACGAAAATGGATGGATACAAAGAACACCATAGTGGAGACGGCAAAGTCTAGACTTCTCACAGAAAGGAAGAAGAAAAACTCCAGATGGATGACCGAGGAAATATTGGACCTCATGGAGGAGCGAAGAAAATATAAAAACAACAACGAAGAAAGATATCGACAAATCCATAGCTTGATTAAAAGAAAGATCAAGGAGACAAAGGAGGCTTGGCTGGCAGAGAAATGCACCGAAATCGAGCAACTGGAAAACCAACATGATTCGTTTAATCTACATAAAAGAATCAAAGAAGCTGCAGGTTTATTCAGACCTAGAAACACAGGGATGGTCACAAACATAAATGGCGAGGCACTACTGGAGATTGATCAGAAGATAGAAAGATGGAGGGAGTACATGCAGGCACTCTATAATGACGAGAACCGAGGCACTTTAGAGGAACAAATCATAGAAACTGGGCCCTCTATAACCACGGAAGAGGTTGCGCATGCAATCAGGAAGCTTAAAAACAACAAAGCAGCAGGACCCGATGAAGTTTATGCAGACTTGCTAAAGCTCATAGAACAAAACCACCTAGACCTCGTTACAGAGCTATTCAATTACATTTATGAGAGCGGCACAATCCCAGAAGAATGGTTGTTTTCAACATTTATCCCCATACCGAAAAAAATCACAGCTAAAAAATGCGAAGACTACAGATCCATTAGTCTAATGAGTCACGTTCTAAAAACATTCCTAAAAATCATACATGAACGTATTTATCCCAAACTCGAAGAACATATCGGAGAGACACAATTCGGATTTAGGAACGGACTCGGTACACGGGAAGCATTGTTTAGCCTTAATGTTCTAATACAAAGGGCACGCGATGTTAACTGCAATGTCTTTGCCTGTTTCATCGACTTCGAGAAAGCCTTTGATAGAGTAAATCACAGGAAACTATTGGAAACGCTCAGACAGTCAGGCATGGATGACAGGGATATCCGCATTATATCTAACCTTTACTGGAATCAAAAGGCTCGTGTTCGGGTGGAGAATGCACTCTCTGAAGAGTTTGAAGTACGCCAAGGAGTTCGACAGGGATGCGTGCTCTCTCCTCTGCTCTTTAACGTTTACTCAGAGAGACTGTTTAGAGAGGCTCTGGAGAATGCAGAGGACGGCATTTTAATAAACGGCGTACTCATTAATAATCTAAGGTACGCTGACGATACAGTCCTAATTGCAGACACAGCTGAGGGTCTTCAAAGGCTAATAGACAGAGTAACGGAAGTATGCGAAACCTACAACATGCACCTAAACATAAATAAAACAAAGGTCATGATAATAAGCAAACAAGATATTGATGGCCAGTTTTATGCAAATGGCTCCCAATTAGAAACGGTTACATCGATAAACTACTTGGGCACATTTCTTAACAATAAATGGGAACAAATAAATGAAATTAAGATCCGAATTGAGAAGGGTAGAACAGCTTTCAACCGAATGAGAAGCGTGCTGTGCAATCTAAATATAGGCTTACACCTCAGAGTCAGAGTTCTTAAATGCTACGTTTTCTCAATACTAACACATGGGGTGGAAGCTTGGACTCTAACCGACGCTGCATGTAAACGTCTGGAAGCATTTGAGATGTGGTGCTACAGACGCATGCTCAGAATATCATGGACCTACCGCGTAACCAACGAAGCCGTCCTACAGCGTATGAGAAAACAAAAAGAGGTCTTAAACGTAATCAAGGAACGCAAACTATCATACTTCGGCCATGTTATGCGAAACCAGAAATATAGCCTACTCCAGCTTATTATGCAGGGCAAGCTTAACGGCAAAAGAGGTCCTGGAAGACGAAGAATATCGTGGCTGCGAAATCTAAGACAATGGACGGGAATGACATCTATGGATCTATTTCGGGCTGCAGCAAATAAAATCAGATGGGCCATAGTAATCGCCAACGTCCACTGAGGATAAGGCACAGGAAGAAGAAGAAGATCCCTTGATCTAAAGCAGAGCGACTTTTTTCAAACATGATATACTACGGCTGATAAAGTCACGTGCTTAATATCTGAAACACGTAGAACCTCCAGAGCAACAACCTTCGTGTGAGAATCGTTAGAAACCGAAATAAATTTTGACCAAGAACATTTGGAAAAGCACATAAGAAGTGTCACACAATGTAGCTATCAAGAGCTGCAAAGCGTTTCATTAAGCCGTTTAATAGGCTTTCCCGGAGTTACAAATTGTTAACTGAAAGTTTCACAGTCGGCACGGCAAATTTAATGAGTCGTCGGGCTCACAGACGTCAATTTGCCATTTTCTGCACTCCATCTTGTTCGCTCTCCCGCGGGAACCATCGCGTCGACGAAAGTTGAACGCATTCGGATAACAAATCGTCTTTATTTTCCCTTGTTTTAATTTAATTGTACCCCAAAGCGATTACAACTTTAAATTTGTTAAATTACAACCGAACGTAATCGCAAAATAATAAATCGATATGACCAAATGGTCCGTAAGGGTATTAAGGACGGGTGTCTGGCTCATTTTATTAGACTCGAGTGCAAATTAAAAATCGATTATGTTATGCCCGGAATATTAAAGTCATATTCCGGAACGTCTCTCGAGTCGGCCCCCCAGTTTCCGACAGAGGTCCAAGAAAATTGCAATTAGCGTTAATCGTTTCTAAGCGTTGTGATTGCCAAAATTTAATTAGAACGTGAAAAATATGAGCATCGTTATATATATATATATACCAACTGAATAACCTTTGCAAACTAAAAATATCTGCATAATTAAGAACTAAAAGTTTTCACGAAATTATATATTATGACATGACAATTGTTTCGACAACACCGTGTCTTTATCAAATTTATAAACTACCTGTTACTATATATCTCGAAAAATGACAATAAAACCTTAATTAATGTTGTTAGAATTTAAGTTCAATGAAGGAGAGATATGTAAATCTAATTGATCGTTAAGCAATACATTTGAATGTCTCATTTTGTTAATCTCCATGGCTTCCAATAAAGTTAATTTTCTACTTTTCGTGGCTGTATGTAAAATATCAAAATAGTCGTCAAAAATGTGTTTTTCTGTTTTTAGACGGTCTTTTATACTCGTTAATGCGTTTCTTGAAGGATCTAACTGATTGTCCAATATAAATTTTAGGACAAGATCCGCATTTCAACCTGTAGACATCTGATTTTTGAGATTTTGGACGTTTCGTTTTATTGTTTTTTAATAACTTTCCTACTGTGTTATTAGTTCTGAAAGTTATTTTAAAAGCACATTTTGACAAATGTTTTGAAACTTTTTCACTGGGTTCTCCTATGTATGTAATTGTTGTAAATTGTTTGTGTTCTGTATTAGGTTTCGAATAAATAGAGTTTACTGTGGTCTGAATTTGTTTATTTATAATTTTATTCGCGTATCTATACCAACATAGAAAACTTTTACTTAAAGGATGTTCTAGTATGATATTTTCCAAATTATCCATAAAAATCTCGGCTAACAAAGAACTAAGTGGGTTTCCCATTCCTATTGCACTGAACAACGGCTACAATCCATCCATTCTAGACATGGATATGGATGGATTCTTGACCATGCGGCCAAATAACAGAAGTATCACTAACGTAGCGTTTCCATAATTTTTGTTTTAGATGGAAGGTGTCGATTGCTTTCTTCTCAAATATATTCGCAATTACTGGTAGCTGTTCCAGACGGATGTTCACAAATTTGACCGTTATAAGAAAACTACATTCTAGACAAGCAGTTTTCATTGAGAATGTTTGGTTCCAGATCCTCGGATTTAAATATACCTGAAATAATGAGTCCCAAAAATAGGGATTTTAGTGAAGAGGGATTCTATGTCGAAACTAACTAGAATATCGTGTGGATCTAATAAAATGAAAGGAATTAAGTAAGAATATATCAGATATATTTTGTAAGAACCAATGGCGCTGAGAATAGGTAGATCCTACTTTGTGAACCCTAGGCAGTCCGTAGAGAAGAAGAATTTTAGAGTCAAGAGGGGTGACTTTTTCACGGATTCTGATAGAGAAGAAGCCTTAACAGATTTAAGGTTGCGTTCCATACATTATTAACATTTTCAAAAAATTCGCGGCTCAAACGATTTTCAAACGATCTGTAAGTAGAAAAGAATATACGAATTTATATTACGTTATAGTGGAAACTTTAAATAGTCTTCAAAAATGTCGGCGTGTGAAGTTGTTCATTAGCAATAATAAAAAATTAACCAAATTTTACGAAATTACAGCACAAGATATTGGCACAACACCGTTAAACCGAAACAAAAAACGTGGTACAAATTCAACAAAAACGACAGGTAGCAATAGTAATATGTAGTACTATAAACTGTAAATATATAATTCTTCCAATATATCTCATTTTTAAACATTTTTGCAGTTTCAAACACAACTTTGCACATTTTTTTTATCTCGTAGAAACATTTTTTTTATCTCGTAGAAAAAAACAACAGTTGCGCACAACAATAGGGCCAGTCCGTGAAACATTTTTTTTTATTGTTTGGATAATACCAAATATTGTTTTGTTTCTAAGCACAGTTAACTGATACATTCAAACGAATTACGTTAGTGTTACCGATTACGAACCAAGCGAACAAGGAAAACGTCGAGATGTTCAGAATGCTTGTTACGTTCGCTGCGGTCCCACATTTAGTTGTAAGTATTTATTTATTTGCGTCTGAAGCTTACCAGAGAACTTTCAATTTTTTCTTTGCTTTTCCAGGCGCATATCCCACACTTCTAAACCTTATTATGGTATAACCCATGCAATGGATTCTAAAGCACTGGCTATTTGTTCATAAACAACGGAAAACACTTTTCTCGGTGTGCACTCTCACCTTTATATATTCATTTGATTTCAAGGAATTGCAAAAACTGCCACATCAATAATTCAATACATATTCAGCAGGCTTACGCTTACTTAAAAAGTCAAAAGTTTAAGAATTGACTTTGACTCTTACGGCTTGCGATTTATCTTCTCCTTTGTAGCCCTCTGTATACTGGAAACTACGAATATTTACGTCAAAAATTACCCCCCCCCCCTCAACTAATGGCAATACAAGTGTTTCAATTATTTTTGCTTTCGATTGGCCACTTTATATACCTTGCCGTTTGCGAGAGTCTTTCTCTCGCCAACTTCATCCTTAACATGTCTACGCTCGAGATCACAGGCCGATAAAGTATTGTCGTTTGATTTTGCATTCGTTTTGTTGGTCTGGGAGCTTCGTCCTAGTTTCACCAGTCTCTCGACGTTCCTTGATATTTGTCGGTCGTTGTACGTCGATGGTGGATACACCCGGATGGATGTGCCGGGTTTCGGTTCCCGGTTTGTGACGGGAAGGCGCAGCGGCGGAGCGCCCAACGGAATGGGAGATCGTCTAAAAACAGACGGATCTCCCGGCTGACAAACGCACGCCAGCATTATCCCCTATTTTGCTTCCATGCTGCGGAATTTCTTAATTTGTTTTGCAGACGCCCATGGCTGGAATTTGAATTAAAACGAATCGTGAGATTTGCGCTGCAGACACGAGGGATCTGCACTGTCACGGTAAGCACCTGTTGGCGGGATTCAGCAGGGTTAAGGCGTTTATCCCTTTTCGTTAGCAATAAGGATGACGAGCAATCATCATCCTTCACCCGCTTCACCGCTGGGAATATAAGGACCGCGAATGTGTAGAAACATAGGAAATTTTTTTAAAAATAAATTACCTACAAAGTTTTATTATTTTGCCAATAATTTCAACATATTATCACATCTAAGGTTAAATTTAAACGTCCAAAAATATTGGTTTAATTTCCAGGAACGTAACCCCAAGAATCCATCCATCTAGAGCGAACAATGAATTTATTTTGATATCGCAACAGAATAAAAATGTCAGACAACATAGCAATCCAACAAAGAAGAGCAATTTACCAATCCAAGCAAAATAAAGCTTATATTTCTGAACCATACAGTTTCATTTATGAAGAAAAAACATTTACAGGAAAGTAAGTACAAAATACATCTAAAATTGGAATATTTTCTTAAATTCATGACCGTGACGTAATGGAAACGTAATTTGCCTTTTAATTTTTTTTCAGTCCTTTAGCTAATTTCAATGGAGTTTACCAAACTATATTGAAATATTCGCGAAGTAATTTTAAATAGCTTCCAAATAAAACGACAGTTATTTGCTGGATGCCGATTTTAATTAACTCCTAATTAGATAACAGAATTGCCATTCGCGAAGGGACGAAGATGAAATCTATAATTACGTGTGGTAAAACTGTAATTAGAATTTGATAGCAATTAACCAACAGCGTTTAAAATACCAGTTCAGTTAAATGCCTAGTTTTTTGAAAATAGGAAAAGAGGAGTTTTTTTGGATAGCGAAAAAACAACAAGGAGGCAAAAAGGTGAATTATTGGTTAGTTGCATATGAAAAGTTTTTACCATTTGGAAAAAAGCATACAAAATTAGACGAAAAAGAATGCATTTGTGATCAACATCCCTATACAGCGTGTCTGGAAATAACGTTCGAATAATTTCAGATGTAGAAAAATGAGAATTTAATTCCATATGACCATGGGTCCGAAAATGCAGAGTTTTCAAGATACAGGGTGTTAAACTTAAAAAAAAAGTTTTTCATCAATATCTTAAATATCCCTTGATCGATTTTCTTGAAATTTGATAATGATATTTGTTGTGACAGGAGGCTTATTTGGGAATAATTACTTTAAAATAGCAATGGAGTCCACCAATTTCTTTCCAAGTTAACCAACTTAAAATGCAACTTTTTGTATCTTGAATTTTTGTTGTATCTATTTTTTTTAAGTTTGGCACCCTGTATCTTGAAAACTACGCATTTACGGACTCGTGTTCATATGAAAAATTTTTCTTATTTCCTGCACCCTGTACCACTAAAATTTTAAATTTATTATTCAAAAAATTGCCAGTGATAATGTAATAAGTAATAAAATAGAGATATATTTATAAATCATCAGGCTAAATATCTGCTCTTTTTTAATTGCAACAAACTGTTATTTTTCATTATATTTGTTACGAGCAAATAAACGATTGATTGACTAATCAAAAATTAACAAAATAACTGTACCGCTCTGTACATTTGCATCTTTCAAATTAAACAAAATCAATCAATATGTTCAATTCAACTTTCCTATATCAATCTTTTTTTTCCTCATTTTAATGCCCGTATATTAAAGACGAGATGGCGGAGAAGCAAATTAATATTAAAGTGTACCGCTTTACATACTTTAGGGAGAACGAGGGATTTGGCAATCATAAAGATAATGCAATTTTACAAGTTCTCTTCGAATAGCGGGTTAAAACAAAGGAAATCGAGAGAGGGAAAATCTTTGCGAGCATTCCGGCCAAGCAAGCGGCCCCGACCCTAATAAATAAACACATTTTTCTGTGGCGCGCCCTCTCCTTTAATTAATTGAAAAAAACAACGATTTGCTTTCTTTCTTAACCGCCATTTTCCGGGAAATTTGCGACGCACTTAAACTTTTTCTTCTAAGCGTTAAATTGTTGAGGGCAATCAATGGTAGATATTGAAAATTCAAAATCAATTTATTAGACTTGGTTATGGAAATGAAGGGATATTGTCAAAATTACAACAAGAAAAAATGAACGCAGCTATAATTATATAGGACAAAACACCAATTATGATATGTCACAGTCAAGATGTTCATTTAAGCTATGAAAGGCGTATCAAATTTTAAAGGCCAGAAAAGTGGACTATTGACTGCAATGAATAATTTATGAGTATCAACTTTCTAATCAGAAATAGGTCTTGATTTTTTACGTACGTTAGAATTTTGAAATCTCTGATTTTTGTTACACTCTCTGGCAAAACAATATCAAATTTCAGGTCTACTGAAAAATTAGCATTAAAGTTTCCTTTGACACTCTAAAAACTGATAGTAGATATAGATGCAATGAAGATGCATTTTAAATTAATGAAATGATGGGACCCCCTTTTATTTTTTGTACCCTAGTGAAATTTGGCATGCACGTATATAATTAAAATGTTTAATTTTTAACATAAAACAGCAGGGCGCCAACTTAGGTGTTTTTTTAATGGCAAGCGGGGTAACCTCTTTTTAAAGGTCTTTTCACATTCTAATCACACACTAATTAGTTTTATTACTTTTCTATTACTTAATCGCAACTTAAATTAAAAAATAAATAATTTCATCATTTTATCAACTATTTTATTAAATTTTTGAAATTAGCACCTTGTCCATTTGGTTTTGTAAGGGCTGCTAGGTCTGGCGACCGAGCTGGCCACTCATTTTTTTTTAAATGTAATTAAAAATGCATTTATTAAATTTTTTGTCTTGCAAAAACTGACTAATCAAACGTTTTCAAAATTGGTATGCGAATAGAAAATGAAAAGACCTTCAAAAACCATTTTTTTTTAAATACTTAAAATGGCACCCTGCTGTCATTTTGACATTTTCCGATATTGTTTTATATACAACAAATATATACGTGTATGCCAAATTACACCGTTCTGTATAGAAGAGTACAAAAAATTTACGCGGGCACCGTATAATACTAGTGTTGACCGTCGATCTTAATTGACCGGTCAATTGACCACTTCTTATTGACTAGTCAATAAATGTTTTAAATAACATCTTGAAAATTGTAGAGTCTTATCTATCATTATTTATTAATAATATGTATTTTATAATAAATTATTATGATTTTGTGATGTCCGGTACCTATGACCCGTCTTCTTCGAATACAATACTTAGCTTCCGAAAACGACGCGACAGCGACGTAACGCATAATATAAATAAATATAAACCTCATGGTATTTTTAGAATTATTCCAGTCAATGGAAACAAAAAAAATTGAATGCCAAGAATAATCGAATATATGGAAAATAATATAAACATAACATATTTATGAAAATCAATTTTGTTAATCTCCACATGACGTAGTAGGCCACGTTAGGTGAGAATCAAAGTGAACTCCTAGCAATTTAACTACACTCCCCTGACGAAATGCACTAGTTGTTCGGCCAGCTTTATCGACATTCAAAGTTAGGTTTACCTATACCGGCAGTAAGTTTGCATCCTAACACCGGCTGGCCGGAACTTCTACTTAATAGTTTGAAATTGTTGCTATCGGAAGCAGAAACGGGATCGTCAGTGAAAAAATATAGATAGGTATGGTCTCTTTATAGATATAAGAAAGTGACCAATTACTTTTGAATGGGATTATCCAAGGGTGGTCATTATCATACCAGACAACAAGATTATTACCTAAAGTTTTGGGAATTTAAATTCAGGTAAAATTGTGGTCCGTAATAGAAAATAATTTTATACCTACTTGTGTTTAATATTCTTTGGTTTGGTATACTACTTAGTTTAAGTTTATTAGTAATCATTCTTATTTCGTGTGTAATACAGCGTGTTTTGAATCGTGTGCGAATTATGCAAAATATGTGCGGGTCTAGTGTATCTCATGGGATGCTCATGCCCAAATGTAGAAAACACTATTCTATTGAGACTAAGGAAGTTATAAACAATGTTTATTTGACTCTCATTGAACGTGGTGCCAGCAAGCAAACATCTTTAGAATAAACGGCCACATTGACGAAAATTGTGAATAATCCCATTTCAGCGTGGAAAAAAAAAGCGATGCTGACATTTTCTCGAGTGTAGATGAAAGTGATTAAGATATATTACGGCGTAAAATTTACCAGTTATATGAGGAACAAAGCGTACCTACATTAGATATCTTAATTAGGAGGCTTAAAAAAGATGAAACCGGTGTTAAATGTGGCAGAACTACCTTATCGAAGTGTATTCAACATATGGGTTTTAGATTTAAAAAAATTGACAAAAGGCAAGTTTTAATGGAATCTTTCAGAATTCGGAACTAGTTCCAAACATTCCTCCTAATAGCGTCATTGTAATGGACAATGCAAGTTATCACAGTAGACAGTTGACTAAAACCCCTTCCTCATGTGACACAAAACCAACAATCCAAAACTACACGTATAATAAAAACATTTATTTTAACGAAGATTATACCAAAAAGCAATTAATTGAGGTTCTAGCAAGCTTGAACCTGCAAAAGGAATACGTCTGTGATAATTATGCAAAAAATCTAGGGCAACTTTAATCTGCCATTCGTCGTAACAATGTTTTTCCCCGTGTTAACTCCAATGTCCTCAAACATATAGAAACCGAAGTTTTTAGTATCCCTACGCAAAGTTGGGCAAATTCTGTTAAACATATAGAAAAAGCAGAACAATCGTGTATCCATATTGCAAATAATATAGAACAAATAATAATTAGAACAGGCGATGATGGCGATAGTGATACTTACATATTATGTGACTAATTTTAAGTAATTTAAGTAGTTGATAAAAATAATTTGTAATTTTATTTTAGATTTAAACATAAATACATACATAAACAAATAAATATTGTTGAGTATCTTTCCTAACAAAGCCCCAAAAA